AGTTTTTGAATGCAGTAAATACAGCAACCAATCTCCCGACCCCATGAATATTTCATTTTGGAGATGACTGCATAAATATTGTATTTGGATATTATGGTCTGGGACATCACATTAAAATTGCAAGACGATGCTATTATCCCATATAATGGAACATGAAATTAAAAAGCTGGTCCACGGAAAGAAAAATTTTGCTAGTCCTGTCACCTGTATTTCTTTTCTCTCTCTCTCTTTCTCTCTCTTTCTCTCTTTCTCTCTCTCTGAATCTGGTTCCCATGTCAGTTTTCATATAAATTATTTAAAATTTAAAGTTTTAAGCATGGATAAGTGAATGGGCTGGACATTATTGTATAAGCACCAGCCATAGCTGAAAGAGAATTTTATCCTCCTAAATTCAGGGGCTTCTTTTAATAGACCAGGTTACAGCCAAGTTGCATTTCATTGGGATAGTATTGTAAGTACAATCACAAACCTTCACCAAGTCCTTCTCCAGCAAAAATGTGGCTTTGCTACTGAGCCTGGATTTCGCAAGGGGAAAGATATGTTAGAAAGCACACGACCAGGGACGTTGAACACCTTAGTTTTCTGGTTGGTTCTGCCCTTGTGTGAGTCCTCTGTGTGTGCTCGGAAAAGCTGTCAACCTTCTCTGGGTGGGCTTCCAGGTATTCATATGTAATGTAGCACCTGCCCCACACCCTCTTCCCAGGAATATCAGAGTGACTTACAGAATGTCACAGCTGGAAAGTACCTTGGTAATTGCCTCACCCAGGGCTATTGCAACTGGTGTCCTGCAGGGGTGGATTTGGCCTAGAGATATACTTTATTTAGGCAGATACAGTTTTTTAAAGGAATTTAAGTGTCTTTCAGAACATGCATTCTCTACTTCTCTGCTGATTTCACTACTCCCTGATGCCTTACATTCAGCTTTCTCTACACACTTTGGTTATCTGTCTGACCCCTGTAGGGATTTAACTGTAACCCAGACCTAGCCCAATTTTGTCATTTTACAAAGGGGGAAACTGAGACTCAGGAAGGACTCCTCACTTTTTGAAGTCACCCAGCTGACGGCAGGTAAAGCCAACACTGCCTTGTAGATGAAAAGCACATTTCAGTAGAATTAGGTTCGCTCACCACCAGCATCATTGTCATCACCATTTTATTAAGCCATCATCAGTTTTGTGGAGACTGAAATTTATTACATCATTATTTTCAGTGGGTAGCCAGTGTCTAGAGGCAGGTCCTCTGTTCATGCAAAAGAAAGTGCTGGGGATGGGCGTTTACTAATGAGGTTTCAGGCAGTGGATTTGTGGGAGGTCCAGGAGGAGAAATTCTTTCCAGAATTTAGCATAACCAGCAGGGGCAGACCATCTACAGCTTCTATACACTGAAGTCTCATCATCACTGAGGATTTTGTTGAGCAGCTGCCTTGTACTGCCCTAGGACTTGTAAGGGAGGTGTAAAGGAGAAAAGCCGAGGCTGGTTCAGGTAAGAACAGGGTCTACCTGGGAGGAGACATGTAACTCCAACCTGAAGATAGTGGTCAGGTCTGCCATGAAGGGGCAAAGAGCTGCAGAACAGCAGTGGCTTAGTGGAAGATGTGGCATATATGTGCCACAGCCCTGGCTACCTGCCCTGTCTGAAACCTAAGATCATCCTCACCCATCATGGTAGCTAGCAATGGAGTTGAAATCATTCGGGCATGTATTAATCAGGACTTTTTCAATTGCAAGTGACAAATCCCATCTCAAAATGCCTAAAGCACATAAGTGACCAGTCTAGGGGTGGGTCAGACACAGTGAGATCTAGGATCTCAAGAAGACTCATCAAGACTTTGATACTGTATCTTTCTGCCTCTCCTCTCTTCTTTCTGTATTGTCTCTATTATCAGACAGCCTCATGGTGACAAGGTGGCTGCCAACAGCTCTGGGCTTATTCTCCCAGCGAAAAAATCCCATAGAAAAGCCCTCCTTCCTAGTAGTTCCAGCAAAAATCCAAGACCTAGTCTCAGACTCAGCTTGAATTGCTGCCCCATCCCTGAACCAGTTATGGCAACCAGGCAGATGGAATACTCTGACTGGCCCAGCCTGGGTCATGTTCCCACCCCTGGTGCTAGGGGCAAGGTGCCAACCCAGGTGAACTGAGAGTTGAGAATGAGGGACTGTCCGAAATAAAATCAAAGTGTGGTTCCCAGAAAAATCAGGAATGGATGCTGGGCAGACAAAAACAAGAAATGAAGCACTAATACATGCTACAAAGTTGATGAACATTGAAAACATGACGCCAAGTGAAAGAAGCCAGACACAAAAGACCATATATTGTATAAGCCCAAGTATACGAAATAGCTAGAAAAGGCAAATCCGTAAAGACAGAAAATGGATTAGTGCTTGCCAGGGGCTGAATGGAAGGGAGAATGGTATGGGGTCTCCTTTGGGGGTGATGAAATGTTTGAAACTAGATAGAGGAGATGGTTGCATATTGTGAATGAACTAATGTCCCTGAATTGTATGCATTAAAATGGTTAATTTTATGTAGTATGGATTTCACCTCAATTTTAAAAATATGACACCACAAACTGTGTCACCAGCCCAAAGCAATCTCCTGCCTAAGGCCAGCTGGCCTGCGCCCCAAAGGCTTGGCACCTTTGGTTGGGCTATTCTCTGTGTCTAGGTCCATTCCCTCTTCTCCACGCAACTTTCACAGCCTAACTTGGGCCCTGCCTCCTCCAGGAAGCCATCCCTGACCACCAAGCCCACAGCATCCTGGCTTTTTCAAGCTTGCTCTGTTCCTCATTTTTCTGGAAGTTCCTTGAAACTCTTTTAAGTTATGGTGATGTGTGCCTATATGATATCTCCTCAGACTGTGAGTTCCCAGAAGGGCCCAGTGGTTTATACAGTTTTCTGTCCTCCTGTCCTCCACTGTACCCCTACAAGGCTGGGAGTGTGGTAGGTGCTGGGCATGCATTTGCTTGTTGATGGATTGAGTGCATCATTCATTCGGTGGATACTTATTAAGCACTTACTGTGTACCAAGCACATAGTGATGAGCAAAAACAAGAATATCCCCAGTTCCTATGGAACTTACAGTCTACTGGAGGAGACAGACAGTAATCAAAGAATCACACAAATATATAATGGCAAGCTGTGAGTTCAAACATGTAAAAATGGGCTAACAAAAGTACTGTCTCTGGGGTTTTCATGAGAGTTAAAATAGATAATCCACATGAAGTCCACGGAAGGGTAATGCTTAGTATGTTTTCACCACCATGGTGGTGATGGTGATGAAGGTGATGATAATGAGGATGGTGATGGTGACAGTGATGATGATAATGGTGATGATGAAGACAATGATGGTGATGGCGGTGGTGGTGGTGAGAGTGATGATGGTGGTGACAATGATGGTGATGATTGTGGAAGAAATCACCGTGGTGTAAGATTGTATATAAGGACTGAGGGACTAACTTTGACAGTGATGATGATAATGGTGATGATGAAGACAATGATGGTGATGGCGGTGGTGGTGGTGGTGAGAGTGATGATGGTGGTGACAATGATGATGATGATTGTGGAAGAAATCACAGTGGTGTAAGATTGTATATAAGGACTGAGGGACTAACTTTTGAATTGCAAGCTGAAACATACATTAGACTTAACTAGGTGAAAGTGGAGTGGAAGTAACAGGGAGAGCATTCCAGGTGTGTAGAGCAGACTTGACCAGAAGGCTATGTATAATGGTGGGCACGTGGAGCAGAGAAGTTGTGGTGACAGCGTGGAGAAGCATTTATACAAGAGAGTTCTTTGTAAGGGCTTGAAAAATCCAGATTCCTGAACATGTATAAGGATCAGCAGGCTGGAGGAGCAGAAAGATACCTGGGTCGGGAGACCTCTAGACTCTAAGCTCCCAACTAGATGACTAGCTCCCTAGGAGCAAGGATTATCCTTCCTGCTCCTTGACCCCCAACAGTGGCTAGCCTGGCACACAGTAGGTGTGCAACGAATGCTAACTGTGAAAGGACTGAAAGTTGGGGCTAGAATGCTTGCTCTAGCTCTGTCCACCCTCCCAACACACCAGCTCTGTGGCCTGAATGGCTTTGGTTTCCACATCTACAAAATGGGAAAGGCCAGTTCTGCCCTGCCTGCCTTGCAAAATCCTGAATGAGATGATTACGTCTATGCTTAGTAGAGTAGGAGTTATTAACCTGGAGCTCGTGAGGAGAATTCAGGGGGTCCAGGAACTTTGATGGGAAGAAAATGATATCTTTATTTTCATCAGATTCTAACCAAAATCTGGCTAAATGTAAGTAACAGACCACAGTAGTATTAGCAGTAATTGACTTTGTCACTGATAAAAATCGCGTATTTTCATGTCACATTACAATTGTTGTAGGTACCTCTAAATACCATTTATGCCCACAGCTTCTTCAAAATTACAATAGTTAGTAGACCTGCCATAATATCTTATTATTTAACGTATTAAAGAAACACACGTATTAACCATCTGGTCTTTTAAAAAATATTTTGTAATCCTTTATATAATGTGTGAGTCAAGAAGTACATGTATTACTGTATCAGAACTTTGGTGTTCTTTTGTTTGTTTGTTTTTAATATTCTGTAACCCTGTGTATTTTGTTGTAAATATTTAAGAGCCCTATTCCAAGATAAAGGGCCCCAGGCTGCATTCATCAAACAGCCAAGGCATCCATGGCGTAAAAAGGTTATTTCAAAAGTTCTCTAGAGAGCAAGTAGATGCCTCTGACTATGCTGGGTAAGTCCCGTAAGCTCACTAAGCTTCAGTGGACTCATGTAAAATGGGGGTAACGATAGTACCTGCTTCACAGGGTTGGGTATGAGGATCAAGTGGGAAAATACACACAGAGCCCTGATTCAGTACCTGGCCCTTAGTAAGTGCTCAATAAATGCTATGACTGCTGTCATTGTATTTGGATGCTGGGTGGAGTTCCCTCTGTCAGGGCGTCTTTGGACTCAAGGCTACTTTGTGTTTCCCAGGTTTATCCGGAAACAAGGCCTGGACCGGCTCTTCCTGGAGTGTGATGCCCACATGTGGCGCCTGGGAGATCGGCGGATTCCAGAGGGCATTGCCGTGGATGGCGGTTCGGATTGGTTCTTGCTGAACCGGAAGTTTGTGGAATATGTGACCTTCTCTACAGACGATCTGGTGACCAAGATGAAACAATTCTACTCCTTCACCCTGCTTCCTGCTGAGGTGAGTATACAGGAAAAATTCCCCGAGAAAGGGAGGGGCTGTCTGTAGCCTTTGGAGCAGAGCAGATGCTGAATTTTTTGCAAAGCGATGCTGGCCCACCTACATTGTCCTCCAAACATCCAGATAAAGATGGAGAACTTCATCAGTAACCAGGGACCTTGTTGTCATAGCAGGACCTCTGGTCCCCCTCCAGTCTGTATAGAGGCTGTGTAGAGTAGACAGTCACACAGTACCACCAACAATCCATACAGTGCCTTTGTGCAAAATAGAATAGGCAATCCTTCCTCAAGACAGTTGGCTCCCATTGGTCATAAAACCATCACACTATGGTGATTTTTTAGAACAAGACACTCCACTGACATTTTCTAGGAAACTATTTTTAAAAAGCAAAACAAAAAAACCCACCTCTGATATCTACAATGTTGGTGGCACCCCCTGGAGTTATGCAGTGTGTAACCTACACAAATGTATATGCTGACCTTCTCAAGATGCACCCACAATTTTTAGCAGATCCTCTGCAGTTACCAATCATGTAATAAGCACCTTTTCTACACCAAGAATTGTGTTTGTCATTTTGAATATTGTTTTGTCATTCCCTGATATAAAATAGTGTTGATTGGTCACACCCCAAAAATCCAAGTGATCCCAGAGACAGCCAGCCAGGGCTTCCACTAGGCCTATACTAGCTCCCTGAATTGACAGTCATGGTGGCCAAATGTTCAGGGTTCTGCATTTCCCATTAGAAGCATTTGAAAAGCTCCAGGGAACTATCACCATTTTTCAGACATCAAGATGGGAAGCCCTGTTGGGTAAAATTGCAGACCCTTCTAAAACAGCCCCAACCCCATCTAGGAATGGGTAGGGATCTGGTTCTGCAGTATCGCCACTGACATGCCAACAGGCTTTTTGTCAGACCTGGGCTTAGGACTTCTAGATTCATCTCCCTGAACTCCAGTTCACTTTCATCCTCATGTCTGACTTCAGAAAACTCCACAGCCGGTTCCATTTTTATGGAGCCTGTGACAGTCCTCATGAATGGGCCACTGTTCCTTCCCTGGCTGGGCCCCCAGCTCTGGTCTGCATGGGCCATGTGTTTCTGCAGCCAAACAAGACAGCGCATCTCATTGGATAACTTCCACATCTTTCACCAGTGTCTGGGGTAGTGCCAAGCTCCGGCGAGGGCTGGCTGCCCACGTCACTCCAGAGGGACGATGAGCTTGTCATCACAGGGCTGGGTTTTACTATTCTGCACACATGTTAAGTAATCAGCTTTTAATCCTATTTCAGGGAAAATCACCTTTTCTCTCAATTCTGATAACCTCCTCATCCATTATCTTGCAGGGAATTTCTGTTTCATTATGAAAGGACACAGGGCAATCGGTAATTGGGTACTTTTCCCCACAGCTTGGTGGAGAATATGTGCCTCTGTGGGACTGTAGGCAATTCAAGCTTAAAATCCAGGTTCACCTGCATGTCACGTAGCATCCCAGGAAGGTCAGCGAGGAGTGGTGGGTGGAGACTCATTTTGCCCACCCACCCATTTAGAAGAGATTGTTGGGAAGTTTGGTTGTTTTCATCAGATGCCCACTGCGTAGCTCCGCGTGTGCTCTCTGCCCTCCCGGCCCCAACACACACAAACACATGCACTCCAGGGTCTCTGTGGGATCCCACCTGCTCCAATCTTGCACCTCTGCCTAGCCTTCGTTTCTCCCAGACCACCTCCAGGGGACTGGTTTAAAAGAAATCTGAAGGCTGTGCCCATAAATGTGTAGCAGGCAGACATGTACCCCCCAACAGCTTCCTTTAGGGAGCAGAGAGTAGGGGAAAATGTGTTCTCCTGGTATCTGGGATTGTTGAAACGGACATCTCTCTTCCCTGTCTCTCTCTCTCTCTCTCTGGCAGTCTCTCAACAACTCCATCCACTGTCTCTCCTCTCTGATCTTTCTTTTTACTCCCAACATTGCCTCTTTCTCAGACTCCTTGGAGACTGTATTAGTCCATTTCTGTTGCTTATAACAAAATACACAAACTGGGTATTTTATAAAGAAAACAAAATTTATTTCTTACAGTTTTAGAGTCTCGGAAGTCCAAAGTCCAGGGAACACATCTGGTGAGGGTCTTCTTTGGTGATAACAACACAGGGGTCTCACATGTCAGAAAATGGCAGAGCAGAGAGAGAGATAGCTCCTCACATGCTCTCCTTTTAAAGCCCTCAGAACCATGCCCATGACCACCGCCATGATTAATCCGTTCATTAGGGCATGGTCATCAGAATCTAATCACCTCTTCAAGGCCCCACCTTTCAATTACCATAATAGCATTTCCCACCCTCAACAGTTACAGTGGGGATTAAGCTTCTAATATACCAACTTTGGAGGACACAATTCAATCAATCCACAGCAGAGACATTGGCCAAGAGTCTTAGGATTAGGGAGAAACAGTGGCATGTGGTTCAGTTCCGTGGACAGCAAACAGCCCCTCCCTACCATGTTGTACACGATGCAGGTGGCTAAGACGGGGTCACTGGGCTGTCTTCAGCCCCAGGCTTGACACATCCATGAATCTGTCCTCCCTCCCTCAGGGATGAAATCCCACAGTATCAGTCTTTGTTATCAAATTATCTCAGACTCGAATCTCTCTGGCTTCAGATCTGGCTATTCGCAAAGCAAGAGCTCTTTTGACCCAAGGTCTTATGGGAAATTGTCCCCGTGTTTTCCTCTGGTCCCCATGTGTTGACATACCCTGAGGGACTTTTCCTCTCTGGTACGCACACAGAAGGTGACCCAAGTGATAAGAGATGTCTGGAAATCAGATTCTATATGCCGGGAAAAGACAACGTAGAGAAATACACAGAGCAGTAGACTTCTAAGGAGAATTAAGCCACTCTGGAGAGAGCATCCAGATGGACTCTGAGTTGGACCACACTGGCAGCTGACCTGCATTTGTATGCAGCGAGAACTGGTCCTATCCCAGATGAGTCTCCCTTAGAGAAATACACAGAGCAGTGGACTTCTAAGGAGAATTAAGCCACTCTGGAGAGAGCATCCAGATGGACTCTGAGTTGGACCGCACTGGCAGCTGACCTGCATTTGTATGCAGCGAGAACTGGTCCTATCCCAGATGAGTCTCCCTGCAGTCAGGTGGTCCCCAGGAAGGACCCCCCATCCCAGCCCATTTGGGGGAGGCTGGGAGAGGTCTCAGGCTGGGCCCTCTCCTCCCTACAGTCCTTCTTTCACACGGTCCTGGAGAATAGCCCCCACTGTGACACCATGGTAGACAACAACCTGCGTATCACCAACTGGAACCGCAAGCTGGGCTGTAAGTGCCAGTACAAGCACATCGTGGATTGGTGTGGATGCTCCCCCAACGACTTCAAGCCGCAGGACTTCCATCGCTTCCAGGTGAGACCCCATGCCCTGCCAGCCCCCCAAACCACGCCTTTCCAGCAGACCTCTGCAGGCATCCACGGCCAAACCCGCAGGTCTTCTTATCCCGCAGTGCCCAGCCCGAGCTGTTGATATAACAACATCAACCATAGCCAATGTTTACTGAGCACTTACTCTTTGTCTGTATGGCTCATTAACCCTACAACAACCTTAAAATATACACATCATTATTATTCCATTTTAGAGTTAGAGAAACTGAGGCATAGAAAGGTCAAAAACCTTACGGTCACATAGCCCAACGTATCTGTTTCCAAAGGCCGTACTCATATTGTTTTCTCTATCCTGCCAATCATTCAGAATCCCCTGCAACATATTTCTGGGCACAAACTTGAGTATAGCTAGGGCAGAGTTTTTCAACCTCAGCACTCTGACATTGTGGCTGGATCATTCTTTGTTGTGGGGACTGTGCTGTGCATTGTAGGACGTTTAGCAGCATATGCCCACTAGACACCAGTAGCCCCCCCATTTGTGACAACCAAAAATGTCTTTAGTCATTGCCAAATGTCCCCTGCAGTAAAGAACTGCTGATCTCCAGTGAGATCCAGGAAGTTGTATTTTTAGTGTATTACACTTTGGGAAATTCTGATGAGCAGCCAGGTTTGGAAACCACTGCACTCTGTGAACTTGAAGATGTAACAAGAGGTAGAAATGTTATTACCTTCACAGCTGTCTCTGCACAGCCTAGCAATTTACAGTTCTGGGGAAAGCAGAGACAGGAGGGTGGTAAATGCTCATCTGCTTCCCATGAGCCCTGAGGATGCCTCAGCCCCCAGGTCCTATCCCAGATGGCAACTTCCTTCCAGCCTGTGTGAGCACCTTCTCCCGTTCTCTCCCCAGGCCAACGCAGCAGCTGGGAGGGAATGGGGCTCTCTGAGTTTGTTCTCTCTAACCCCCTCCCCACATCCAGGCCCCAGCTGCAGACAGCACCAACAGAAGGCCACGGAATAGTCAAACAAATCACTATGAGGTCACTAGAGCCACCACCTGGAGATGGTGTGCTGCTTCCCAAACCACTGACACAGAGGGAGGGCGGGGACATCCGGGACAACCGTGCCAGGCTGATAACCCATCCAAGCTGCCCCTGCTCCCTCACTCTGGCACATAACTGAGATGTCCAGGAGAGGACACGGCACTGCCTGCATGAAGCTTCTAACCTCTTAGCTGGGCCCCTCAGAGCGTGGTCAGCAAACCAGCAGCATCCCCATCACCGGGGACCTTGTGAGAAATTCAGAATCTCAGCCCACTGCAGACCTGCTGAGTCAGAGTGAAATCGGTTAGCAAGATCCCCAGGAGACTAGGATGCTGTCATATTTGGTCTGCTATGTACCAGATTGTGTGCCAGGCCCCCAAGGGCATTGGCTTCACTGGGGTGGATGTCACCTTCATTGTGCAGGTGAGGAAACTGAGGCACAGAGGGATGAACTGATTTGCCCGTTGCCACACAGCTGGTGAAGTGGTGACAAACCTGGAGCAGGTGGGGGTGGGGTGCCACTCTAGTGTTTCTAGTTCCAGACTGGGGTTTTTCACCCGACCCTGCTGCCATACTGGCTTTGTGGCTATGCAGGTACACAATACATAGCAGATTTCATCTTGTCATTTTTATTTCCTCAAGGTTCCCACCTAGCGTCTAGCCATCTTAAGCAGTTGCTGCAATGAGTGTACTTTTAGGCCTGTTTTTGGTGGCAGATTGAGAGCTACCCAGGGATCTCCCCAAACCCTTGTAAATTTAGGCATGAACTTGGGTGACATTTTAGCTCTCCACTGTCCATGCAAGAAAAAGATCTGCTGAGCAGAAAGAGGGTTTCAAGGGGAAAGTTTGACCTATTAAAAAGAATGAAAATCCCACCTTTGCAGAGAACCCCTCGTTGCAGAGGACCTTCATCGTTGAGAGCAAGTGGCCCCACACCTCCGCATGGCCGTTCTTGGGACCACTGCTCCTCCTGGGCTGCTCCCGAGTGGCAGCATTTGTATGCCAACCCCCGCATCCTGGGGATGTTGTGGCCTCTGATAAAGACTGATTAGCATAGACACCGCATCATGTGCTCACAGCTCCTGCCTTCACAGTAAACAGTGATCAAAAATATCCCCAACCTCTAGAATCAAGAAACTGCTACTTGTGAGGAACTTGGAGTTCTTGCTCAAAGAACTCCAAGGAAGAGAATGATAAATATAGAAACATGCCCTTTTAGAAGATCCGGCCATGGTCAGAGAACTGCAGGCAGAGAAAGGAGGCTGTTCTGGCACTGAGGCCGGTTTTCTTCCCCCAGAAAATGAAGACTTATAGGTGCCCCTAGGTAGATGGGCACCTGGTTGCTAATTTAAGGGGTAGTGATAATAATAGCAGCTAACAATGTATGCCAAACACTATGCTAATAACCTGTATTATTATACCCATTTTAAGGATGAGGAAGCTGAGGCCCAGAGAGAGATCAGGTAACTTGCCCAAAGACAGTTAGGAAGTAGCAGAGTGAGGATTTGAACACAGGCGGTCTGACTCTTTTCATTCCTACTAAAGGAACCAAGCTGTCGCCTCCATCACAGACAGGGGTTCTCAAGGGCCCATGAAGCAGAGAGGTGATGGGATGTTTGGAGCAATACCAAGTGTGTTTATTATCAGGGGCATCCAGTTTGCTCAGTTAGCTCCTAGAGCAATGCAGGAGAAAGAGCAGATCTGGGTTCAAATCCATATCACTTCCCCCCTCTGAGCCCAGTTTTCTCATCTGTAAAATGGGACTAATAATACCTGCCTTGCTGAGTTATTGGGAGAATTAGAGGTAATGACATAAATCGTACGTGCTCAGTAGCTATTGTTGCTTTTAATCCACTGCAGCAAAAACAGTGCTAGACCCAAATTTAGGTCAATAATAACACTAGACCATAATAAGCTCCTCAAGGGATGGGGCTGTGTTTTATTTGTTTCCACAGCCCTGGACCAGGGTCAGCAAATGGCAGCCCCTAGTCCAAGTCCACTCACTGCCTGCTGTTGTAATTGGAGATGTATTGGTGCCCGGCCATACCCGTTCACTTACTGTTTTGTCTGTGGCTGCTTTCATGCTACAGAAGCAGTTGAGTAGTTCAAAGCTATAAATATTTACTATCTGGCCCTGTGCTGAAAATTTTTGTCAATCCCTGCCCAATACCATAGCATAAAAAACTTGGTACATAACAAGTGTTCAGTGTTTTATTTCTTTAACCCTCTACTCTGAATCTTAATCCTGGCTCTGCCACGGTCTTGCTGTGTGTCCTTGGATAAATCCCTTTATCTCTCTGGGCCTGTTTCCTTGAGAGCTTGGTTTGTCTCACTGGTCCTCAAACATTACATCATAATCACCTGGGAAGTTTTGTTGTTGTTGTTGTTTTTGATACATTCCTGAGCCTCACCCCCAGAGATGTTGACTCAGTAGGTTTCAGAAAGGACCCAGAATCTGAATTTTTGAAAGCTGTCCAGATCATTCTGATGTGCAGCAAGCTCTGGTGACCTGCATGCTTCTCAAACCCTAACGAGCAAATGAATCATCTGGAAAGCCATTAAAAATGCAGATTCCTAAGCCCTGCTTTCAGAGATTCTGATCAGTAAAAATAGGGTGTCCTCCCTTGTGAGTCTGCCACGTGGCTGCAATGCCAGGAAGGCAATTCAGAGCGGTGGGGACTGTGGTGAGCTGAGAAGTCCATGCCAGGTCTACAGGGACAGCTGCTGTTCAGCCTTAACCAGTTGTTACCATGTAGGAACGTGGGCCAGGGGGTGCCAGATCTATTGCTGTTTAAATGTAAATCAGGAATTGTTTCCATGAAACATTTTCACTTTTTAAATGTTGCCAGCTAATTCAATTTCAAAACATTCTACTAGCCAACTAAAATACACCTGCAGGCTGTATTTGCCATAGATTACTAGTCTGTGACCTCCAGCTAAACAATTTCTGACATCCATCCCAGCTAGAAACATCTAGGATTTATTTGATTTAACAGACATTTAAATGATGTTTACTAAGTGCCCATCATTGCTTTAAATGCTTTACAGATATTAACTCATTCAATTGTCCTCACACCCTCATTAGAACCCACTTTACAGATGAGAAAACTGAGAACACACAGGTCAGTAAGGGTCAGAGCTGAAATTTGGATCCAGACAGGCTGGCTGCAGAGCCCTGCTCCTAACTACAGGATAATATGCTGTTAGGGTCAACCCCCCCCCCAACCCCCACTTGCTGATGCTGCTTTTTTTATCCCCATGAGCACAGCAGACAGCCCGGCCCACCTTCTTTGCCCGCAAGTTCGAAGCCGTGGTGAATCAGGAAATCATCGGGCAGCTGGACTATTACCTGTACGGGAACTACCCTGCAGGCACCCCTGGCCTCCGCTCCTACTGGGAGAATGTGTACGACGAGCCCGATGGCATCCACAGTCTGAGCGATGTGACACTCACCCTGTACCACTCCTTCGCCCGCCTGGGCCTGCGCCGGGCCCAGAAATCTCTGCACGCAGTCGGGGACAACAGCTGCCGGTGAGGCCACGGAGGGAGGGCAGCCCGCAGGACCTGGGACAGGCGGGAGCTGGGATGCGGCTGGAAGTCAGGGGTGCAGAGTGGGAGCGTCCTTCTCTTTAGGAGCTGCAGCTCCACGCCTTCCTTCTCCCTATGCCTCTGCCCAGAAATCATTTGGGCAATCAGCCAGTGTGCATGGCGTTTCCAGTCTAAGCCTCACTCCTGGCTTTACTTTTTCTGTCCTCAGAACACCAGATCTAACATTGACTTAATGATTTGCTTTCAGCTGACTCATTCCTGATGCTACATCCATGCATTCTAGAAGCAAGTGTTATATCCTGATATTATATGGTAGTGTTTGCCTTCAAAGGAAGGGAACCATGGGGCCGGCCCGGTGGCGCACTGCTACAGTGCGCTGCTTGGGAGCGCGGCGGCCCTCCTGCCGAGGGTTCGGATCCCACATACAGACCGGTTCCTGCTCACTGGCTGAGCGCGGTGCGGGTGCGACACTGAGGGTTGCGATCCGTTGCCGGACACGAAAAAAGACAAAAAGGAAAAAAAAAAAAAAGGAAGGGAACCATGAAAATACAAAACTTTTTTTTTTCTTTTTCTTTTTTTTACTTTGCATGATGGAAAATGAGAAATACATACAAAATAGAGAGGATGGGGTAATGCTATGTTCCCGTCACCCCGCCCTAGCAGTTACCAACCCCTGGCTGATCTTTCATCTTTACTTTTCCCCAGATGGGTTGGAAGCAAATCCCAGACATTTCATTTCAGCCTTAAATATTTTAATATATAGCTCTGAAAAATAAGGATCCCATTTTAAAACATACCATGTCATTATTACACCTAAACATATAACCAAAAAAAAAATCACTTTAAAAGACAGAACTATTGCTTAAAATAGAATCATCTCACCTAGCACTAGCAGGTGCCAATTGGCACTTCAGGAAAGTGTGTTCTAGAATATATGGAAAGAAGAGGGATACGAAACTAATTCAACAAAATCCCCTCCCCTCCCCTCCTTTCCCCTAAGCCTGCCAACCCTTTTCATTTCATGTGACTTTTTTTCCTTCTCTAGCAATATGCATTGCAATATGCATATTTACATAATTGCAACGGGAATTTGCTATCCTGTTCTCTTCACGTGGCATTATACTGTTAGCCCCCATTTCCCCATGTTGCTCTGCAGCTTCTGTAATGATAATAACCCTTTGTAATACCTCTAGTATTCCATTGAGTAGAAATTCCAGAATTTGCTTTAATCCAGCCCTTTACTGTTGCTATTGTCAGTAGAGTGCTCTGTTGCTCTGCAGCTTCTGTAATGATAATAACCCTTTGTAATACCTCTAGTATTCCATTGATTAGAAATTCCAGAATTTGCTTTAATCCAGCCCTTTACTGTTGCTATTGTCAGTAGAGTGCTCTTGTAAATAACATTCTGATGAATATCTTTTTGCAGAAAGCCTTTCTTTCCGTTCACTTTTCTGATTATTTCCTTAGGATGCATTCCCAGAAGTGCTTCTAATCACTCTCCTTCTCTTTCTTTTTCTCCCTTGTCCTCTTCCTCTCACCTCCCCCATTTAACAATATAGTGAGAAAGAATCGGTCTTTTTTTTACTGTGCCTTCCTTTGTGTGTCTCTCTTTGCCCTGCTCTTCCGTCTTCTCAGGAAGGGAAGAGGAGAAGAAAGGAACTATCTTGTTCCCCAAAGCTCAGAAAACATGGGTAGGTTTCCCATGTGGTGCCCCTAGTAGCCAGCTGGGTTTCTGCAGGGCCACAACAATTTTTTATTACCTCGTCATGTCCATAGGCTTCTCTTTTCCTGCAGGCTCTGATTTGTCTTAAAGGAAGACTAGTGTGAGTTAGGAACCCAAGACCTGCAGTTTGAAGTCAACTCTACTTACTAGCTATTGACCTTGGGCAAGTCATTAACTTCTCTGAGCCTCAGTTTCCTCATCTGTAAAATGAGAAGAATAATAATGATCCTTACATCATAAGGTGTTGTGAAGTTTAAGGGACATATCTTCAAAAACTACCTTCTGAGTTAGGTAGTATTATTTTCTCCATTTTAACAGTGGCTTACATATCACATGCTGAATAAATGTTTGTGTCGTTGCTTGTATCTTACCTGCTGTTATTATTGAGCAGCCAAAAGTGGTCAACAGTGAACCTGCTGCATGAGATAGTAACTGGGTATGTCACTCTCTCACTGTGCTTTTCTTTGCCTACCATTCCCTCTGTCCCTGCATGTCCACTGCACGTAGCTGCAGTGCCTTGGATCAAGCTCGCTGGCGAGTGTCTTCCCCCATTGCTACTCTGGTACCGTGGGGCAGCATCATGCCCCAGAACCACTGTAGATGTCCCCAGTACACAGCGCAGTGCCTTACTCTTGGGAGGCTAATGTTGTTCAAGAATAGTTTTAATCACAAGCTTCCCAGAATGTATAAGGTAAATGATCTTATAGGAAATTTCAAAAGACACCCCCAATTTATTTATAGTTGTTGGAATTTTCTCCCGGTACTTGTTTTGGAATGAAGTGAGCCATCGAATTGCCTCGGGCCTGGAATCCTCTGGCTCCTACCTCATTTTTTATCTTAATGGAACCATTGTGCCTTGCTCTGGGCAAAGCTGATGTATTTATGAATAGGAGTCAGCAAATAAATCAGCACAAAGGACTCTTATCCCAAAAGGCAAAAGAGAATGAATTCCTACCCCTGGGGTATCTGGGGAAACAGCAAAGTGAAAACTTAAAGAGTCTCATTTTATCTAGGTATTTCATGCAAATTGTGCCTTTCCAGTCTATAGAATAACCTTTTATAAAAATTATATTTATTGATTTCTTTCTCATTATAACGTAACACATGTGCATTGCAGGAATTTTGGAAATTGCACATTGAGAGAACAAGAAAATAAAGTTTGTTTGTAATCCACCACCCAGAGATAAGGATGCCAGTAATTGATTATGGTCTCCAAATTCAAGTGTCCTCTAGGGCCAGCAAGTAGCTTGTGTGAGTCTCTGTGGCCCCTGCAGGGTGGGCTGACCATGGCAACCTGGAGCACCTGTGGTGCTGAGCTCTAGCACATTCTCTGCGAATGCAGACTTGGAGTTGTGGACCACAGCTCCTGGTTTTTTCAATGCTCACCTTATTTAAATAAGAAAGACAAATATCCTTGGGTCAAATGACTGCATTTGTGGCATCCTGTAGATTACTGTGTTGCATCTTGATTATTTCTCTTTTCTTAGAGAAGTAAAAGTTTTAATTGCTTAAGGACCAAATACAGTCCAGATGAGGCATCAGAGGGCTTTGTGTTCAATCCTGGTTTACATGTATCCTAGATGTACCATAGAATCAACAGGGTTTAAGAGAAAATCCTTTTAGAGTTTTCACTCATTCCATAAGTATTGACTGAGCACCTACCACGTGTCAGGCTCTGGTAGGCACTGGGCTTTCAGCCATGACCTAGACAGGCCAGGCCCCTAGCACAAGTAAACCAGAACAAAAGATCAAGAAGGGTAAATGCTTTGCCAAAAAATGAAGGTAAAGTCATGTGACAGCGATGAGCTAATGACTTAAGATTCAGCACTCAACGATCTCTCTGAAGTGGTAACATTTGAGCAAAATGGTAAGACAGAGCCAGCCATGCAATCATAAGGGGAGAAGAGCATTCTCAAGCAGAGAGACTATCCTGTGCAAAGGCCCTGAGGCAGGAATGAGCTTAGCATGTTCAAGAACCCAAAATAAGGTCCCTGTGGATAGAAGGTGGTAGATTGGAGCAGAGGGAGACAAAATGTGGCTAGAGAAAGAGGCAGGGCTTTGTAGGTCAGGTAAGGAGTTTGGATTTCATTGCAAGCCTTAAGCAAAGCACTTGTGGCATTCGAGTGGGGGATGATTGGATATCGCTGCAACAGTCATAGGTTATAGTGGACAGAAGTAGAAGGGCGGGACAACGAAGGAAGCCCTTGCAAAGGTCCACGTAAGGAATGATGGTGGCTTGGACCAGGATTCTGGCAGTACATAAGGAGAATAGAGGATGGATTTGGGTGGCGACAATAGGATTTCTTGATAGACGGTGAGAGGAAGCAAATAATTAAAGTTAACTTCTCAATTTCTAGAGTGCTTGGCCCTCACTGCTTCCCTTCACCCTCTTAGTACTCAATGCAATTGACCACTCCCTTCTGGAAACACTTCCCTCTTTTGACTCCCGTGACAGGCTTTCCTGCTCTCTCCCACCCTCCCTGGCCACCCCACCTTACAGAACAAACATATTGACAGTGACATTGACAATTACTTGTCTGTTGCCACAATAAGGCTATGCAGCAAACAACCCCCAAATCAGTGTTTGTTTGTTTGTTTAATTTTAGTTTTTATTTTTATTTTGGGGGGCCTGGTACAGGGATCCGAACCCTTGTCCTTGGTGTTATTAGGTCACACTCTAACCTCCAATCCATGTTTTATAAGCATTTCTACAACACTCAAGTTTGCAGGTCAGCTGGGCAGTTTTCCTGGTCTGGGCTGGCCTCACTCTATCTGCAGCCAGCTGCAGGTCAGGAGGGTGGCTCTGTTGCTCATGGCTGGAAGTAGCTGGCTGATCTAGGGGTTGGCTTCAGCTGGGACAGTTGGGGTGGTTCTGCTCTGTTCCAGATGTCTCATCCTCTACCAGGATAGCCCAACCATGCTTTCCTGATGATGACAAATGGGCAAGAGAGGCAGGTGGAAAGGGACAAGGCTTTCAGAACTGGCATGGCACCACTTCCACCCCTTGCTGTTGACCAAAGAAGACCCACGAGGCAGGAAATAGATGCTGCATCATTGGTGCAAGGAATCCTGCAAAGTCACATGGAAGGGAACATGGATACAAGAGACATGAAAACTTGGGGACATTAACACAGGCAACCACAGACTCTTTCATGACTATATCTTTGCTGTCCAGTAAAGGAGCCACTAGCCGCATGTGGCTATTTAAGTTTATATTAACTCAAATTAAATAAAATGTACAATTCAGTGTCTCAATCACACTAGCCACATTTCAAGTGCTCAATAGTCACATGTGGCTAGTGGCTGTTGTATTGGACAGCACACATGTAAAACATTTACATCATCGCAGAAAGTTTGGGTTTGGTCGGACAGCCCTGCCTAGACTTTGCTGCCATGGTGTAATAGCAACACAGCCCAGGGCTTTCCACTCCCAAAGTCCAGATCCAAAGCAGGTTTGCAGGTATCCCTTCAGCATGTTGATTTCCATACCTTTGGGTGTATATCCAGCAGTAGGATTGCTGGATTGTATGGCAGTTCTATCTGTAGTTGTTAGAGTAACCTCCACAATGGCTGCACCAATTACAGTCCCACCAACAGTGTAGGAGGGTTCTTCTTTCTCCATATCCTTGCCAGAGTTTGTTATACTCTGACTTTTTTAAAAATTTTAATTTACCAATATACAGTGTAGTTGGTTTTCGTGTCCCTTTACCAATTCCTCTTTCCCCCCTCCCCACTCCATCAACACCATGTCTGTTCACTTGGCTTAACAAATTCAAGGAATTGTTATGATTGTTGTGTCTTCTTCCCCCGACCCCACCATTTGTTTGTATATTTATTTATTTATTTTTAGCTCCCACAAAAAAGTGAGAACATGTAGTATTTCTCTTTCTGTTCCTAATTTATTTCACTTAATATAATTTTTTCTAAGTCCATCGATGTTGCTGCAAATAGTAGTATTTCATTCTTTTTTATAGCAGAGTAGTATTCCATTGCGTAGATACACCACAGTTTCCTTATCCACTCGTCTGATGATGGACATTTGGGTTGGCTCCAACTCTCGGCTATTATAAATAGTGCTGCAATAAACATTGGGGTACAGGTATCCCTTTGACATGATGATTTCCATTCCTTTTGGTATGTTCCCAGCAGTGGAATAGCTGGGTCATACGGTAGATCTATCTGCAATTGTTTGAGGAACCTCCATACCATTTGCCATGAAGGCTGCACCATTTTGCAGTCCCACCAACAGTGTATGAGGGTTCCTTTTTCTCTGCAACCTCACCAGCATTTATCATTCTCAGTCTTTTGGATATTAGCCATCCCAACTGGCGTGAGATGTCCTCTCAAAGTGGTTTTGATTTGCATTCCCCAAATGCTGACTGATGTTGAGTATTTTTTCATGTGTATTCTCTGACTTTTTGATACTACCCAGTCTAAGAGGGTAAGAGGATATCTCAATGTGGCTTTGATTTGTTTACTGCAGCTCAATTTACAATAGCTAAGAGTTGGAACCAATGTAAATGTCCATTGATTGATGACTGGATAAGGAAAATGTAGTATATATACCTAATGGAATACTTCTCTGCCATAAAAAAGAATGAAATTCTGCCATTCACCGCAACACTGATGAACTTAGAGAAAATTATGTTAAGTGAAATAAGCCAGGCACAGAAGAGAAATATCAAATGTCCTCACTCATAAGTGGGAGCTAAAAAAAATAAATAAACGAAAAAATAAAAAGAAGAAAGATACAACTATCACAATAATATATTGAACTTTCAAAAGGAGAGAACAGATCTAAGGTTACCAGAGGTGGGAAAGTGGGAAGGAGAAGAAGATTAGCAAGAAATTATTAAAGGGCCATGAAATAGGATTATGTTGTGTAATGTTGCATGTACTAATTATCCTCATTTGAACATCACATATTGCACACAGGTATTGATATCACTGCAGAACCCTACAGATATGTAATCAATTATGTTTCTATAAAAAATAATTTAATTTAATTTAATTTAATTTAATTTAATTTAAGCATGAGCCATGAATGCCCAACGAACATCTGAAGATGATGCAGGCTTTTTTATCAGAGCCCCCAGAGGCATCCCAGGCAGTGATTTCAGGAGAAGCATAAACACAGGAAGGCAGCTTCCCTAACCATTACAATTGGACATGAAGACTTAAAACTGCAAATGGGACAAGAGGGAAGGCAGTGTTTAGCTAAGCAGGGACAGTGATTTGTGGAATGCCGGTTATTAAGGAGCCACAGGCACCCTCGTAGTGCTGTGCAATTTACACATTGCAAAAGCGACAGCTTGTTATTTTACAAGTAGGAAGAACAACGAGCTGACCTCTCCATGCTCCTCCTCCTATGCAATCTGCTCCTGCCCCTTCTCTGGGCATCTCTGCTGAGTTTCTCTGACCCTTTCAGCCAGCAAGCCTTTGTAGATCAAAGACAAGAATTTTAAGACAATAAGCTACCTGTGTATGTATGTGCATATGTATTGAGATTGGCAATGATTTTTCAAGATGATACCCCATGTTGGTGAGGAGAAAGATAGGGAGAACGTAAATCAGACCTTCTGATAAAGTTAGGCAACCCCTTGGAGATTAGAAAAGAGAGAGGGAGATCCAAAAAAAATTTTGCTCAAGGATGTTCAATGCAGCATTGTTTAGAATCGCAAAAACTTAGAAACCAGAACTCGCTCTGTAAAGAATGATACTACGTACAATAAAATACTGTTCATGTTTTCAGAGACTTTTCAGATATGTGATAATGCTCAGGAAATAATATGAGGCTAAAGCAGAATATAGCCAGTGTATGTATTATAATCCCAAGTATGTAATATTTATGCAAATACACACATAGAAAATAAGGCTGAAGGGAAATAACGTCAACATGAAAGTGTTCCCACACCATTGTGGCTCCTCCATACCTAGCACCAGAGGACACAATAATTATCTGTGAATTGACATTATTTATGGGAAGAGGCATCAAAAGTAGTCATTTTATTTTCTTTTTTGTACTTTCCTACAGTCAGCATGTTTTACATTTATAATGAGCAAAAATGCTATTTATAGTTATTGAGATCATAGATACATACAGAGCAGCTTTCAGACTGATGCAAAGGAATACAGTGAGCATTGTATAAATGGGGACTATTTTAGGAACAGGACTGGCATAGTGGGTAGGGAGCCCCACTGACTCTACACACTTCAGGCCCTAACCCATGAGCTCCTGTGCTTTCAGGTACTACCCAATGGGCCACCCAGCCTCAGTCCACCTCTACTTCCTTGCTGACCGCTTCCAGGGCTTTCTTATCAAGCATCATGCTACCAATCTGGCCATGAGCAAACTCGAGACCCTGGAGACATGGGTGATGCCAAAGAAAGTCTTCAAGATCGCGAGCCCACCCAGCGACTTTGGGAGGCTTCAGTTTTCTGAGGTGAGTGACCAGATGCTGTCACATTTCATCATGTTTTGTGGCTCCCTTGCTGGATCTGTTCCACAATTTGATACTTGTAGTTGGAGATAAAGGAGAAGGGGACTTGGAGAGCCCTAAAGATGAGCTCACCCTGGACCTGGAGAAGGTTCTTCAGGCCCAAACTCTGGAACCAGTGTCTTAAATATGGAAGGAAGAGAGGGACAGGGGCTGGCCAACATCAGCAGACCAAACCAACCTGGAACCTTGTCTGTTTTTTAGAGTAGAATTTCTGCTCCTCTTAATTTTTTATCCTAGCCAGTAACTCCTCCTAAAAAGGCATTAGTAAAAGACTAGTAACAATCCAGTTTCCTAATAAAGTAGTGACATTAATCCCAGTTTACAGATTGGAGATTGAGGCTTATGGAGACCCAATGATTTTCTAGATCATAGGCAGGAAATGGAAGTGCTCAAAATTGAACCTAGGTCTCTTTGGCCACAAATCCCATGCTTAGTTGTTTTTGTCTCCCCAGATCCTACAGGTGAGTGTAAAGTAAGCACCAGATCAATCATTAAATACATGAGTGGTGAGTGGATGGATGGATAGATAGACAGATGTACGGACAAATGGATAGACAGACAAATGAATGGACGAATGAATGGGTAGATGTATGGATAGACAGACATATGGATGGAAGGATAGACAGATGAATGAGTGGACAAATGGATGGATGGATGGATGGATGGATGGATGGATGGATGGATGGATGGATGGATGGATGGATGGA